AACACCCAGCTTCATAACTTTTCTCCCTTTTTTTGCTTGGTAGGAGCTCTAGAGTTGGAAACAATGTACATTTGAATTGACTTTCCTTTTTGTTCTGTATATTGATTGTCTTTATGGAGCATTCTCATTCTGTATATGATCCAGGTTGAGCCAAGCTCCACCAGCATGTGTTCTACTTCCCAGTAATGGTAGCCACTATTGACTTTGCTTGTCACATCCAATATTCCTGGGAGTTTGGAAATATTCTAGTTCAGTTTGAGGGTGATCAGTTTTGAGGGTTGCCTCACCGATGATCTTCATCAATATACTCACTGGCTTAGAAATTGCTGTACAGGTCACTATGTTGCCATCTGCATGTGGTCTTCTGTAGCAGAGCCAGAGCCTCCTAGACAGAATCATAAATTTCATTAGGATGCATTCCTGAGGGTATAATCACTGTCATGTTTATTTTTAAACTAGGTGGAAAATTTCAAAATATTTTCCACAGTGGAGGATACCAATCTACACCCTTCACTTAAGGTATGGAAGTTTTCATTGTTCTGTCTTCTCACTAACTGTCCATATTGAAAGATTTTTTAGCACAATTATAGATTTGCCATGTTATGACAGTGAAATTAATTTGCATTTCCATTATTAATGAAGTTTAAAAACCTGTTATTTATTTCCTGGTCATTTAAATTTCTACTTCCAAAAAATGTCTATTAACCTGTGGAACCTGTTGCAAACTGTATTTGTGGGTCACCAGGGCAATTTCAGACTTGCAGTGACACCCCGTTAACTCTACTTCCCTTATCTTGCCCATAAATCAAAACTATATATCCAGTATCTCCAGAGATAAATATGTAAGTTTTCCAGCCCAGTCATAAATTAACTTCATCTTTCAAAAACATTTATTATGTGAAAGCAACACAATTTCCCCTTGAGAATCAGGATAACGATCTTAGTTGAGAAAATGGCACGAGGTATTCATAATGTTTGGGGGAAAACCTCAGATTTTAATTAAATAGGATTACATCTGTGTTTTCCATTAGAAATGAGTCTCTCTTGGGAACTGGGGTCTCCAAACTGCCAAAGTATGAAGATAGGAAAAAGTATTGTGGAAGTTAGTTATGTTGGGAGGAAAACGTTTTCCTTCCTTTCAGGTTTTTTGGCTGGCCTAGTAATTAACATAAAACAGACTAGCAGGAGAAAAACTAGTTTAATTTTGTACATATGAGAACCCCACAAAGACATGAGAGATTCCCCAGCAGTTAGGTGACTGAGGCTTATATATCATTCTGGGCTAAGGAGAAAGAGATAGGGAATAGGGGCCTGGAGTTTCAAAGGGGAGGAAGATAATCCACAGGAAGTTGAGAACAAATGTTAGGTAAACAAATGTTTGCTATGCCATGAAGATAAGTCTTTTATATTTAAAAAGTTATTTTTGGTGATAAGTCTGTTCTTTGTACAGGTCCCCTATCTAAATTCTGTTAGTTAAGAGAGATGTTAAAAGTTCTGCCTGAGTTTGCTGGGCCTTGACAGTCTTCTACTGAAATAATCTACATACCAAGGACATGCTGGGGTGGCCTGCTCTGAATCCTCTTAGTTGTGGCATGTAATAATAGTGAGAGGGTTTACTTCTAGTCCCATCCCTAGTAGGACTAAATAATTGGCTAGTGAGGAGATGGCACCATGAATTGTTTATTAAAGCATGCAACAGATCATGTAGTATAACACCTCCCATTTGCAAGTATTTTCCCAGCTGGCAGCATTACTTATCTTGCATAAGTTTTCTTATTATTCTCGAAGACCATTTCTTTTTGGGTGATGGAGTACATAGCAAACTCCATGAATCTCATAGTTATGACCACATAGTTATAACTATTTTTGTTTGTTTGTTTATTTATTTATTTAAATACTTCATTGTTCTATTACAGTTGTCCCAAATTTTCCCCTTTTGCTTTCCTCCAACCGGCCCACCCCTCACAACTATTTATTTAAAAAATGAGTTATTTGTTCTCAGCATAGTATTATATGTAAGCCACAGGTAAGGATTGTTTGAGTGTATTGTAGACAAATTTGTTTGACATTAATATCCAGTCACATAAAGAAACACCACTCCTACTACTGTTCATATCAGGATGAAGTCTACCAGCAATTGGCTGGCCACTTCCCTTAAAGAAATGGTCTCATGTCAGAATTTCTAGTACTGGCCTTTGCTTTTGAGTTGTTAGATATTCAGCAATAACTGTAGCTAGATCAGTCTGGACCAGGGGAATTACATGTATATGGGCATAAAAAATATGTGTAAGAATATTATTCATAATGACATAAACCTGGAAGGAACTAAATGTCCATTAATGATAGAACAGATTAAAAATGTGTAGGATATTCACATAATAGATTTCTATGCAGCAATAAATGTGGTTGAACCACAGATATGTACAGCAATATGGATTATTCTTAGGTTCAACAACAGAAGCCAGGCCCAAGAGAATATATATCATATGATTCCATTTGTATAAGAATAGATAAAAGAATACATCAAGCTAAATTATAACATTTAGGGATGCATGATAAGCACACAGAAGAGCAAGGATATATTCACATACACAAAATAATATAGTGGTTACTATTTGCAGGGGGCATGGCCGAAAGAGTAGTGAGTAGAACAGCCAGAAGAGTGGCTTCTGGGGGCTGGCAATATTCTACTTCTTGGCCTATGCTGTGGTCACATGAATGTCAACAGTTTATTGAGCTTTATGTAATATTTTGCAAATGTGTTATATTTCATTTATTTTATAAAGTAAAGATTGAAATGAAAGAAACAGTATAGAAGAAAATACAGGAACATATTTTTATTCTAATCATTTCAGATGAGCAAATACTTTATAAACTTGAGATAAAACTTAGTAGTCATTAAAGAAAAGATTGATACATTTGACTCTTTAAAAAAATTCCTTTTGACAAAAATAGCCATAAACAACATCGAGAGAGATTCAAGGGCATAGGAGGATGTGACTCATATCAGGGCAAAGGAAAAAAATACCTAAATAAGTAAAGAGATCTAACAAATCATTGACAATGTCTAATAAAATATCAGCAAAGATTATACATAGCTAGTGCACATAAAACTGAATCAATTATAAGCATGTAGAAGAAGTATGGTTAATTTAATTCAAAATCAGATAACATGTAAATTACAAAGTTATATTGGTTTACCTCTCTAAATGACAAAATACTTGAAAACTTATTGAAACATTATTTAGTGGTTGTAGGGAACAAGTTGATCTTTTACTTAACTCATTGGACTATAAATTGGTAATATCACCTCTCTTAACCTCTCTTAATACAGAGACAATGCTCCATGACCTAGAAATTCCTCCTAGAAATAATTTTTAAGCTTCCAAACAGACATAAAAAATGTCGGTAGTGTGGTTGATTAGGTTCCACTTAAAGGTGAGACCATATGGTATTTGTCTTTCACCACCTGGCTTATTTCACTTAGCATTATGCTCTCCAGTTCCATCCATGCTGTTGCAAAGAAGGGGCTCCTTCTCTCTTTCTGCTTGAACAACAATAAAACAATTAAATAAAAAGAAATAAACACAAAAAGCACAAAGAGTAAAAAAATAAAGAAAAAAATTTGGTAGTATGGGCTAACCAATAAAGATCTGAGGCTGTAAAACAAATTAAAAGTTTATTTGGGATCTTAAAGGGCTTAAATCCAAGATGCAGATTCAAGTAGCAACCCAAACTTTGCTTTAGATAAAACGAGGAAAGGCTAGGTTTAAAAAGGTGAAAACCACAAAATATAATGTTTTTCATGCAAATGAAAGATTGCTGGTTTGGTTACCAGGAATTGGTTAGTCCCAATATGCAAATGAGGGAGGTAAAAACTACAAGGAAAGAAGTTCATATATGTCCATGCAGCAATTGTTGCTCCAGAATGTTTAAGGATCCAGGATGTTTATGGTTGGTCCTTGAGTTGAGTTAGTAACTTAATAGCAGCTCTGAGAACTGAGGCACAAGATGTGCACAGGCCCCGCCTCCTTAACAGCCTCCTGGCTATTTTAAATGACTCTCTTACCAGTGCTTATTTACTTTTGTCTGCTCCCTTCATACTGCATCCATTTTTCATCATCCCTCCTCTTTCTTTCATTTATGTTTCCTTTTGTGTGTCCCTGGCCAGAGTCCAGAATCTGAGCTACCTGAGGCCAGGGATTGTATCATTTCTCTCTCTCTCTCTCTCTCTCTCTCTCATTAAACCCAAGGTATGAGTAATATAACCTAAATAAATATCTCAGAAATGAATGGATGAGTGAATGAGTGATTAAATTATAAACCATACCAATAAATTAATCAATTATTTTGCCTGCCTGACTGGTAATATTATAATGATAAATTTTAGATATAAAATCATGAAAGTCCCAACTGATGAAATGGGAAAAACCAAACTCAGACATGCCTTGAATGAAATGTAGAGTATTTCAAAAAACATTTAGCCAATAATTAAAATTGGAAGATTTCATGAAACCTCTAAATCTAGCTTGTCTTAGAAGATACTGAAACATTTTGCAACACTGGGCCCATGCCATCCCATGGCAATAGCATGCTTGAATGCTTGAATTGAAGAATTTACCCTTTATGGTGAGGGCATGCTTGCCCCATACGGCCACAGCCTCTTCTTACACAGTGCATACACTGACACCAGGCTCCTAACCCTCATTTTCTTATCAGTCTGTTTTCAATGAACATATGAGTCCATAAACCCTTTTGTAAAACATTAAATCTATGAGGAATAGATATGTTCTTTCTTTCTTCTACATTCTCTTCTTTGGCAGATTTTTACACAAAAGAAACATTTCGTTGTATATACTTGCAAATGCTTCAGGAAATCTTGCATTAGAGGACTCATGTTTTCAATACCACCTTTTCACGTCTTTTAGAAATTTATCCTCCACTTCTTCTTCCTTATTTTTTTAACCACCAACCACCCAGCTACATGTTTATTTTATGATTTATTTGTCTTGATTTAGGACAACCTTGTCGCCAAGTAAAAATTTGATTACACCTTCCCGAATCTGTTTGGTTTTGACTCCATAAACAATTGGGTTCATCGTAGGGGGCAATAGCAAGTAAAGGTTGGCCACAATGATGTGTATGTGTTGTGGGATATGGTGTCCTCCAAAACGATGGGTGAAAAAAGTGAAAAGAGCTGGGACATAGGTGATCACAATGGCACAGATATGAGATGTACAGGTGCTGAAGGCTTTATGACGAGCATCTGCGGATGACAGGCTCACGACAGCTCGCAAGATCATAGTGTAAGACACGGAAATACAGCATATGTCAAACACACAAATAAGGAGAGCAACCATCAGACCATAAATAGCATTGATCTTGAAATTGCCACAGGACACCTTGGCAACAGACATGTGGTCACAGTATGTGTGGGGAATGAAGTTGCCATGGCAATAGGGCAGACGCTTGGTGAGAAACGTGAATGGGATGATAAATGTCACACTCCTTAGAAAGGTGGCAAGACCAGCCTTCGCAATGACAGCATTGGTGAAGATGGTGGAGTAACGTAAAGGGTAGCAGATGGCCACATAACGGTCCAGGGCCATGAGCATGAGCACCCCAGACTCCGTCGCGGTCAGCGTGTGGACAAAAAACATCTGGGCCAAACAGGCATTAAAATCAATCTCCTTGAGGTTGAACCAGAATATGCACAGCATATTGGTGACAGTGGTTGTACACAAGGTGACATCTGTGAAAGAAAGCAGGGCCAGGAAGTAGTACATGGGCCGATGCAGGGCCTCCTCATGGCCGATGAGGTAGATGAGCCCACAGTTTCCCAGGACAGCAAGAACGTACATGAAGCAGAATGGCAGGGAGATCCAGATGTGTGCATTTTCCAGCCCGGGAACACCATTCAAGACAAAGAATTTAGGGGTCAGGCTGGAGCTGTTGGCTCCACACATAATGGCTGACAACAGAAGGGCATTTTACTTTCTTTAGAAGTGTTAGTTTCCTGGACAAGGAAATGATTCAAATGAGTAAAGCGTTTGGAAACCAAATGTAAAAGAAACAAACAAATATCCCAATTATATGTTGAATGATAAGTGATTAAATTTCCTTGAAGCCACATTGTCAAGGTTTGTATCCCATGCCTAGTATGTGATAGTGGCAAATTGTTTAGCCATTTTATGCCTCAGTTTTCTCAGTCTAAAATGGGGGGTGATAATTGTACAAGCTCAGAACGTTTTATTGACGGTTTATGTAATCTGTTAAAACTGTGTAGTACATAGTGAATACTCAATAACTATTGGCAGTAATACTACTATTGTTATTACAATACTATTACTATCATTTCCTACCTCAGTATAAAGCATCCCATGTGATCAAACTTACCTTGATTAATATATTAAGGAAATTCAAATGACATAATTCAACACTGCTGTAATTCAAATGCCATTGTGCACTTTAAGATGGGAAAGGTAGCATGAGAGTTTGATAATTGCAGTTACATTGGGTGATTGGTAAATGAACTTTAGAAAGCAAATACTTGTTTCTAGGATCTCCCAGATGAGATAGGGTATGTTGCAGAATAACTGCAGTCAATAAAACCTGCAGAGACTATCAAGAAGAAAGACCACACCTCACTGGATTTATGGCTTAAAACTGGTAGAGACCAGTTTGATCCAACATGGTGACTAGTTTCACCTAACAATAACCCCTAGCCTCATTAAACATTCATTATAACACATCAGCATGCTAAATGACACACTTCCAAAACACTCAGGAGAAATGGAAAGCCCATAAAAAGACACAAAGTGGCTCACAGAGCTCTTCTGAGGAATCTCCACCCTTTTCTTGGGAACATCCTGAATATACTTCCCTGTTATTTAATACCTTACCCCAATTAGATGAACCTCAGTAAAGGAAGCAAATTCTGGTAAACTCTGGGACTGCTCTCTCTGTGGAATATTTCACTGTCTGCTTCACTGCTTCACTAATAAACTTATTCTCACTTTCAACCCCTTGTTGGCTTGTGTTTGAATTCTTTCCTGTGAAAAGCCAAGAATCCACAGTGAATCACAGATCCTTGGGTCCCTGGACTCCCAGAATGCCTGCATAAAGAGACAAAAATATATTCTCACGTTTTAGGCAGAAAATATTATAAATGTCTTAACCCTATGTTGAAATCCAGGGCATCTTGTCCAGTTAGATCTCTGAAAGGCTCCTGCTAGTGTAGGTAACTAAGCATGTGGATCAACTTCAAATCAACTTCTGCAATGAGAACTCGTATGCATGAGATGCCACCTCTAATGCCTACCTCTTTCTAAGGTAGCCAGAGGGCATCAGAACCACTAGACAAAAAGAAAAGACTTGACTATTAGGGTATCAGTGGAGGAAGAACCTGAGTCTCTGCATGGTTGGCTTGGAAACCAAAACTGATCATTCATCATGGAAAACTCTCAGCCTCTTCCATGCATCAACATCATATAACTAAATGATTTATCCAAACTCAAATGATAAGCAAACAAACAGATAAACTGTCAGTTCTTTTTTCCCCTCTGCTTAGTAAATAATTTCTCTTTACACCCTTCCTGCTAGTTCTTTCTCAAAAGTGCACATGAATACTGCTAGCAGAATATATTCAAAAGGAGGAAAAGTAAATATATGAGTGCCTATTCTCTGAAAATTTGAGAGCAGAGCTTTATTGCAGGCTTACTTATAGAGACATGGACACTCAGACTCTTTGAGTTTCCAATACTAACTAGCTGGATGGACTTAAACAAGTCTCAACCTTTCTTTTTACAATTTTCATTACTTTTAAAGGGGATGGGAGAGTGATTATAGTACATATAGAGGTGTTAGAATGGCTTAGTGAGAATCCTTCATGTGGTACATGGCATCTAGTAAGTAACCAATGTATGTTATGTATTATAACAGGTAACTGCCACACTATGTGCTAAAACATATTTATTTAACAGATGTTCGTTAATTGCCTTTTACATGCCAGGTGTCATTCTGGTTTCTAGGGATGCATTAGTGAACCAAACAGACAAAACCTTTTCCACTCACAGAGCTAATATTTTATGGGGGTTGAATCCTGTATTCAAAGTTACAAAAATGCCGTGAACATAAATTATTATCCTTATTTTATATATGAGGAAATATAAGTTCAGGGTGAGTAAATGACATGCCTAAGTCCACAAATACTAAAAACTGGTAAAACCATGATTCAGATCCAGGTGATTTTGACATTGAAGCCATCGATCTATATCTGTTGTCCTAACTTACTCTAATTCTGAAATATAACTGCCTAAAATGAGCATAACTACCTTAAACAAATCATGATGACATAGGAGAAAGATAATTCTTAATAATAATAATAATAGCTTCATAAAGAGACAGAGCAGATGTAAAAGGTTGCAGAAAGTCAGTCTTTAGCTAAGGGAGGTCTCTACACAGAGAGAGCCTATCTGTGAGATAGCCACAGTCCTATTGCTGGACTTGTTTACAGAGACAGAATTATATGGAAAGATTTCTTTCTTCCTTTTTTTGGTGGGATGCCCCTCCCAGAAATTTTCTCAGTGCCTTCTAGGGTTCAAGTCTAGTCTTCAGTTACTTGTCCACCAAGACTATTTCCATTAAAAGCTTTTCTGAATATAGGTATCCATTAATTCAGGAAAAACCTCTTTGTTTCCTCTTGTTGGAGTCTACTGTTGCCTAGACTTCTCTATCTTCATTAAATTATGAGGTAGTTTAAAATGTGAACAGAAAATATTAAAAAATAAAATTTATTTTACAATTAAGGGCACATTGCTTTTTTCCTTAATCCCAAAACAAATGTTTATTTATTCTAGCTTGAATCAAGAAATACAGAGTCTTCAACCTACCACATCTCAAACATTTGTATTTCTTGTACTACAAACTTTATTTACATTTGGGAAAAATACTAGTTTTTGTTAATCATCCACACTCACCTCAATGTTGGCAAAGACCAGATTCATGGGCATGGCTCAGTGAGCATCGGAGTTCTACAACAATCAGTTCCTCCTCTGCATAGCATTTCTGTGCCCTTTAAGGATTTTCTGGACTTGAGTGTCTACACCTGATTGGATCTTCACAGTAAATGTCTCAGAAGTCTCTGAAAACAGTAAAAATCCCTTGGGACTTTTGATATTATTTTTACACTTATCAGCTTTTTAAGCAGTAGTAAAAATACCAAACAATAAGAATATTAATGTTAAATATCTTCCTTCGAGTGTGTATTCTGATGGAGTTCTGATAATCATAAAAATTATTTTTAATTAATCTTGATTTATAAAATAATGGCCTAAGAATATAATAATAAAATACCCAAAATGTATTGACACTTATAATGACAATCTTAAATGTCCCACCTCCATAAATATATGTGTTCAATGCACATCTATATGTCCATACATTTATATATCTATATATCTCCATAAAGTTTCATGAAACTATTTATGTATATGTATATTTATGTGTAATAAATTTTATGAAGCCATATAAATATTGATATCTATATATTTATCTATATAGAAAGAAAAAGTGAAAGTGACAGTAGGTAGAGAGACAGACAGAAAAAAGGAGGAAATATGTATCATATAAAAATAATAGAACAGTTCTGTGTCCAGTTCATACTATGTCCTGAGTTTATTGGATAAATTAATGAATACACAAATATACATGTGCACATTTCTTGTATGTGTCTTTGTTTTTTGAAGATTGTGGCAAAAGAGTTTTGTATATATTTTACATATACTTTATTAGTTGAGTTTTCCCCTTAATATTTTATTGTGAAGAAGACTGAACCCAAAAGGATTAGAAAACAATTTGTAATAACTTTTGTCATTCCAGATGGTGACTATATAAAGATTCCTGGTAAACTCAGAGCAAATGTTGAAAGTCTCTTTAAGTGAGTCATCAAAAGTATATCACTTCTGGGCTCTCTGTTCTGTTCCATTGGTCCATGTGCCTGTTTTTATGCTAGTACCAGGCTGTTTTGATTACAGTCGCTTTGTAATACAGCTTTGTATCAGGTATTGTGACCCCTCCTACTTTGCTTTTCTTTCTCAAAATTGCAGCAGCTATTTGGGGTTGTTTATGGTTCCATATACATTTTTGAAGTGTTTGTTCTATGTTTGTGAAATATGCCATTGGTACTTCAATAGGTATCTCATTGAATCTATAAATTGCTTTGGGTAGTATGGACATTTTGATGATGTTAATTCTTCCAATCCATGAATACGGTATATGTTTCCATTTGTTTGTGTCTTCCTTGATTTCTTTCTTCAGTGTTGTATAGTTTTGTGCATACAGGTCTTTTACCTCCTTGGTTTCCATTTGTTTGTGTCTTCCTTGATTTCTTTCTTCAGTGTTGTATAGTTTTCTGCATACAGGTCTTTTACCTCCTTTGTTAGATTTGTTCCTAGGTATTTTATTTTTCTTTTTGCTATATCAAATGGGATTGTTTTTTATTTCTGCTTCTGCTGTTTCATTGTTGGTATACAAAAATGCCTTTGTTTTCTGGCATTTACACAATGGAATTCTATGCAGCAGAAAGAAAGAAAGAGCTCCTACCCTTTGCAACAGCATGGATGGAACTGGAAAGCATTATGCTAAGTAAAATAAGCCAGGCAATGAAAGACAAATATCATATGATCTCGCCTTTAACAGGAACCTAAACAACAAAACAAAGAAATGAGCAAAATATAACCAAAGACACTGAACTAGAGAACAGACTGGCAATATTCAGAGGGGAAAGGGGAGGGAATTTCAGGGGAAAGGGGGAAGGGTTTACAGGAACAAGTATAAAGGACACATGGACAAAAACTAGGGGCAAATGGAAATAGGAGGGAGGTGGGGATGGCTGGGTGGGTGGACTGGGATGGAGTAAAATATAGGAAATTGTACTTGAACAACAATTAAAATTTTAAAAAAGAAA